AGCACACTAGTGCATCCCTAAAGGTAGCCAGGTGTGCCCCAAAACAGAAGAGTAATTTATGAATTATTTTTAGCTTTGAAAAACCTTTATTTTTGAAAGCTAGAGACATCAAGCAATGTAACATCTTTAAAATAAATTCTTATTTCAGGAGACTTCTTTATTATTTTCCTATTTTCAAATTTCAGGACTAATTTTTCCATATTAAAATTTCAAATATGCCCCAGAGTTTTAGTTATTCTACAAGTAAAAAATGTTGAGAAGCACTACTATATCTGAATAAAGAACTTATATTCCTAATTTTTAGTTCTATCCAAATATTTTATGAACATAGATCAGTTTTGTACGTGAATAATACACAAATATAGTTTTACTTCATCTTCTCTTTTCATAAAAAAGTTGAATGTATTATAATCTCCACATTTTTTCTATTCGTATCTGTTTTACAATCTTTCAACCAATGTCTCTTGATGTATAATTAGCAAATCTGTCAATTTTTGCTTCCATCTCTTTCCCGTCTCTGTCTATCTGTATAGAAACATGGATCAACCAACATGTTCTAGCCAATATTTGCAAAGGAAAAATGGACAATTACATAGGTACATTACTGTATCAGATTCAGCAATAGCTGAACATTTGATTAAAAATGAACAGTGTATCCAGTCTTATAACCTGGATGTTTTCAGTGCTGAGTAAGGCTAATATTGATTATCACTTGAAGGTTTTGAAAAATCCATATATTAAGTCCTACCAACCATCTCTCTGTAAACAGAAGGTGTTGTTGCTGGGCTTAAAAATAATTAGTCTTTAATGTTATATTTTTTGTTTGTATGTAAGATAAATATGTAACTACATATTTTTTAATCATTGTGCACATTTGTTTTTATCCTTGATTTTTGGTCTATTGAAAGAGGACCAATTTAGCTGTTTTTAATCACTGTGTTTTTGTATTATCACTTTACATAGTATATATTTTTTGTTGTCCCTCTTTTTTGCTATGATATTCCTTTAATATGTCTGTTGTTATCTGTCTTATTTTATTGCTACACTAAAATTTTGTACCCATGTGAAAATATTTCTATATGTGACAAAGAGAGTCTGGGAAACACACACACACACACACACACGTATATTTTTTTTAGTGAAATTGTAGAAGATTTGGATAGTGAAATTAAATCAGAGCATTTTGTTTACTGATGTGGAAATTTGATCTAGGGCAAAAGCTGTACCCATTGAACCTGGGTCATCAGTAGACAATGGAAATGGTCGAAATAATTTTTATCGATTAAAAATTGAAATAGAGCTGAGTAAGCTAGAAGGAACCTTGGAATTCACATGATTTTGGTTGAAGCAGACAGAACCCCGTGCTAATCACTTGCAAAGTAGTAGGGCCAAGGTTGTAACCAGCCGGATTTTTCTATATAAACGTGTAGTTATGCTGAAGAAAAAGAAGACAGAAGAGAATTAGCCTGGGCAAGAGTTGGGCTAGAGACAGTGGAGAGTTTAGTTAGACTCGAGAAGGAGAGAACGTGACGTTAGAAATTGGAACAAAGCGTCCGCTAACATGTACTGTTGTACCGCTGCTTCTGCTACCATGAATATTACTACTACTGTTACTACTGCTAAAGAGGAACACCACTATAAACTTTAAGCCGCACACAGAAATCTTATTCCTCCATCGCAAGAGTCATATATCATTCTGAGACGATTTAACAACAAGTTAATCATAACACTCTCTCCCTGTCCAGAATCCGGTATATGCATTTTTTTCATCAATTACTTTTCTTTACTGCTAACCCGTTTCTTTTCTATACTATTCTTTTCTGCTATATAAAAGTCATTAACAATTCAATCATTGAATAGTTATTTGTCTGGCTTTCTGCAGATATTAATTTTTTTTTTGCTGCATTCTAAATTTCTTAGCACAGACTCTCCAGCCGTGTCTACATCTTCAGTCGACCGTGAATGGATGAACATCACTTCTGCTTTCTGGATCAAACCAAATACAATCTGGACAGGAAGCAGGATTAAACCAGTGGACCGGTCAAATAATCTACGGATTCTCAGGGGACCTACAACCACTCCCTTAAGTTTGGTTAGGACCAAGTAGACACCTCAACTCAGAGAGTAAGACGTCGGAGGTGAGGGGCTGGGGCAAAAGTGGATTAGTCAAAATTATGTTAACACTTAAATGGTAGAAAAATAAAACATTATTTTGACTGATATATATATTTATTGAACTCTCTTGTCATTTACAACATGGAAGTGTCCAGTAGCTCAGTCCATACAACAGCCAGACTGCACACACATATAATTTGATTATAGAGGTAAAAACTTGTGCAGGACCAACCACACTTTTTAGAAGATTCAAATACAAAGGACTGGTGCCCATAGTGTACAAGTTCACCAAATAACCTCTTCAGGTTTTGAATTCAGAGTTGTCTTCCTCTTAGACTAGTTGCCAACCAAGTCTATAGTACCCAGTTTTTCCTGCTATTTACCTGTAGTTGGGGGGAAAAAGAGATGGATTTATACCTTTCTAAAGGGTTTTGTTTGTAAGTGAATGTAACAAATTCAGTTGGAATTTGAACTTGGCTCCCTCTCTGATTTCTTAATCTGAGCTGGTATCTATTATATCACCACATGCCTATATATATATATATATATATATATATATATATATATATATATATATATGATAACAATATTTAAATTTCTTATGTATCAACAAGAATTTTAGGACTAAGAAGTATGAGGAAATGGAAAAAAGTTTTCATGTGACATGTTTCCCTAATATATAAATATATATATATATATATATATATATATATATATATATATATCATATAAAGCCTGTTTAATTGTATCACAGCTCATCAGCGAGACTAGACAGCTGATTGCTTCAAGCTGGGATTGAAGCTCAACCTATTTGGCATCAGTCAGAGACTCTAACCCTAAGCTATTGGCACACGGTAGAGAAAAGGAATCTTTTAATGTATTATATACGTGATGTATATAAATGCCAAATCAGCAGCCAGAGTGCTCAATTCATATATGAAGAGCCATGCATTGTAAGCAGGAGCAGCTACTGTTTTAAAAATTCCCTTTCCCCATAGTGCTCAATTGGCGAACAAGAACAAACACACACACTGCCCGCTTTAAATGTCTTTTCTCTCTATACCCCAGTGACTGTCAGCATTTTTGGCTTTATACTATCTTTGACATCTCTATTATATATATATTATTATATAATATACTATATATATATATATATATATATATATATAATTAATAAAAACAAAAGAAACAACACATTAATATCAATTATGAACATGGACACAATATCTTGACCTTGTTTTGAAAAATGAAAACATTATCTAAATTACATGCATGCAACAAACTATTTCTTATTTAACAGTTAAAATATTTCATCCTTGAAAATAGCTAAATGCATAGCCAAAAGCGCTCAACAAAATGAACGTTTGGACAGTTTTTATGTAATTTATCATCTGAAAAGTAAAAAATTATTAGATCACATGAGAAATTGTATAAAAAAACTAAATCAAAGCACCTTATCTGTCATATTCAGTGAAATGTGCATGAAAGAAAGATTGCTGCCTAAATACACAAATATATATATATATATATATATATAAGTGATGGGACAATTAATCAGAATTGAGAATCAGAAATATTGGAACTTTTTGGGGTATTAGAATCAGAATTTTTAACCTAATTTCCAATTCCAAAAACGATTCTTTGGATTTTTTTTTTTTGTTTAAATCTTAAATTTTTATTCCTGGTACTAATGATAAAAAGATATAAATATTTATTGATTTTAAACTATCCACAAAACTAAAATTTATAGATAATAACAACACCTAAGATAAGTATGATGTAAATTTATTTTACTTGTACTTGTCTAAAAAAAAAAAAAGAAAAAAATGAAATGTGCAAGTTTCTACCCAGTTCTCAAACATTTCATAAAGGCCACTAGTTTAAAGTCTGTTTCAGTTCAAAATAAATCTTTTATTTTTAATTTCTTTTTAAATATTTTTAATTCACTCTATTTAATATAAATTATTAATTTAATAATTATAGTCAAAATTATGTAATATAAAGACAAATCAAATTCATGTCATTGTTCTGCCAGGCAGAAGACAATTTTCATTATACAATTTTAAGACAATTTTCATTATTTTTTTTTTTTTTTTTTAATTTATAAAACAGAAATAAAAAAATGAAATGTATGGAATTCCAGACAGTGTCACATTTGATTTCTTCACAAAAAATTGACCTTGTGTTACAAATTGTTCTTTATATCTTTATTATTATTATGATTTTTATTATAAATGGCATTTTTTGTGAGTTACTATCCTTGTTTTTGTTTTTTTTATTTTCTTAAATAGTAAAATTAATAACAACCAGCCCGGATTGTGACATCTTAATAGAGACAAAATTTATCTTTTAAAAACATGTACACAGGGGATTAACCCAGCTTTGTGCACATGTGGAACAACCAATGACAAGAAGATATATAAGCGCCCCCCCCCATCTGAAAAGGAAAAGCCAGAATTTTTCACATTCTTGCAAGAAGATCAACATCTGGAAAAAGCCTTAAGCCACAGATTGTCATGCCAATATTAATTAACAAAGTATAGAAGGAAATAAACAATTTTACATCTCAGAGATTTAGTCTTGTGTTCTTTTTTCGTTCACCTAGTACAAGCCCCAAAAGCCACTCAAGGTAGAGGATTATTCAATGAGATTGTTGAAAGTAAATAATGGTTGAAAATGGTTAGTCTTTAAAAATTATGATGTTATACTTATATTAAAAAGAAACGGTAGCTGTAGAGAGAATAAATTTCAATCTTTTAATGTTTGTAATATTTATTTGTTGACTTTGGGAATTGATTTTTTTTTTTGTTTGTTGAAAAACAATTTTAAATGTCAATTCAGAACATACAATGTTTGTAAATGTGTAATTTTTAATTCCTGGTCAGATAGCCACAATATTTGCCAGTGATTTGGGCCTCAAGATCACAGTGGAGGATTTCAAGTGTGTCCAAGCCAATGCCTTCATCCAGTCAGCCGTCTTTCATGAATATATTATTACAGAAGAACAAATTACTTTCAAGATCAACCTTAATGTATTAATTGTAAGTATTAATTGTAAAGTACTAATTGTAACTACGAATCCTACTTATAACTCTGTTTATTTTTGACAAAATTTAGTTTAGTATTGTAAAGGCAGAACAGGAATAGTGTTGCTTTAATCTGCCGAATGGACAAGGCCTACTTGCCTTTGAAAAACAGCATTTAAAAATCTTGTCTTTTAGTTCAGTTCAATCATTGAGTAGAGGAGAAGAAAAGACACAACTAACTCATCAAAAAGTCACCGAACTGTATTTATTAACAAACTAGTTTCATGTTATTGTCACTGTAGCACTTACGTTAGTTGACTGGATAAAATGGTTCCAGATTCATCATTAAAATAATTTCTGGAATGAGGAGTTACATTCAGACTGCTGTTCTTGTGGTATGAAAGAGGGAAGGAGAAGAAAGAAATACAAAGAGATTATATAAACTTACCTTATTTCCTGCCAATGAAGCACAGTCGAAAGAAAATGAGATAAATTCATAATCATGGTAATGAAGAAATTTTGTGAAAAGGGAACTGGGCTGTATTATGAGAGAATGGTTAAAGAATAAGGGGGATGAAAAAAGCTTTTTTTTCCTCCCCCACTAATCAGGGTATCAGAGAAAGGAAATCTTACAGAATTTGTTTTCCTTATTTTGTTTGGCAAACAAAAATTAAAAACGTGGAGAATTTTGGTACTTTAGTACACATGTACCAAAATATTTTCTAAATTTTAATAGACACCACCACACTACTAAACCTCATAATATCCTGAATTTTGGTACTACCCCCTCCTCCATTATTTTCTTAATGTTTAAAAATCATCTATTCATTGTTTACTGATTCTATATTATAGGCCCTTCTATGTGCCATCTCCCTTTAGGACCTTAGTGATCATGACTCTCCACAATTTCCTGTCCTTTGTAGCTCTTAATAAATTTTGTTATCTCTCCTAATTCCTCAAGTTCATCAGGTAGGTTATGCATTGTTTCCTTTATCCCTCTTACCTTCAATCTGTCCTGCGAATATGAAATTTTCCAAACCTTCTTTCCTCTTCTTGCCTTAGAAATTTCAACAGTCTCTTAAGTATAAGTGTCCTTTTTTTTTCCATTTTCTCTAAAAATTTGTTGTTGCTCACATGTGTTGAGTTAATTCACCTTGGCAAAATGACTGTTTGGAAAAGGTAGATCTACATAGGTGGCACTGCTAAGTTATTTGCTTGAGAATAGTTATAAGATTATTATTGGCCCATTTATTCGGCTAGCCTCATGTATATACAGTGTGCAATGGATAAATTGTCGTCTAAGTTATACAAAAATGAAAAAAAAACATTAACATCTCATTTTAATAGATATATTTACCAAAATTACACAAAAATATCTGGAAATACTAAAGAGTAAATTTGTTCAATAAAATCGCCATTGACTTTAACCACGGCTTCTAGACAACTTCAAAATCTCCTGCAACTTTTCTGGATGGTCTCTTTGTTTAAGTTGGTCACTGCTGCCATATTCCTTGCCTTCAGTTCATCTTTGATGTTACAAGGAATTTTATTGATCTCTCATTAAACTGCATCCCAAACATAAAAATCAAGGGGGTTGTAATCTGGTGGAATTAGGTGGCCAGATCTAAGAGATGATGTGGTCGCAGAAATTGTCTGACAGTCATAACTGAGTTCTGCTTGTGTGGTATGTTGCAGTCCTGTTGCCAGACATAGGGTCTTCTAATAGCCACCCTTTTGACCCAGGACAGCACTACTTCCTCAAGACACTTGATGTCAGCCTCTGTGTTGAGTCTGAGGCCCAACAAAATCAGGAGTTCTTTTCTTATCAGAACATTCAGAGTAAGTTTTCTGAGCTACGGTACCTTCTTAATCAGCATTAGACTCATCCAACTCTTTCTGAATCCTCTGCACTGTCCTCAGATTGACACCCAAACACTCTGAAATGTTCATATTGGAGCTTCTGGCACAGATGCCAAGAAGTATAGCATGCCGTTTCCAAATTTCTGCCAGATTGAATTTTGTCATGGTGCTCTTTTTCTCACAGTACAATTGACAAAATCAAAAACAAACAACCTGCATGCACAAAATTAAAATATAAAATGGCGACAATTTACCCATCGCACCCAGAAAGGAGCTATTTTGGAGTAAAGGTGACAAGAGTGAAAAAGGTGAATCCAACAGGTGTTTAGCAAAATGTTTGGACTATGGTATTCTCAGCATCCTTCTATAGAACTACATTTCTACTGCTTCAAGTGTCTTCTTCATCCGTGAGGAGATTGTCCAGCATTCACTGTCATATTGGAGGACTGAAAAACAAAGACTTGGATTCATTTTCCATTTTGAGATGCTGTAAAATTTGACTGTATACAAGTAATTCATGCCCATCAGTCTCATTTTATTTTCCTCAAGTTAAAATGTTCCAGTTATGCTTTTTAAACTGGAAAGTAATTTTCAGGCCCTTTTTGTTTTAATACCTGATCTCTTCTTGTTCCTACCATGTGGTATAAAGATTTTATAACTTCTAATTATACAAAGTGACTTAAAAATGGCAAATAATTACTGATAATTGACTTGAATATAAATTTTGAAACATTTTTCAATAAGGAATTACTTTAACACTTTGAAATTTTATATTCTATTATTTTTCTTTATTAAAGATTGGAATAATAAAATTAACTAATAAGCAAAAATTAATTAATCTCCCCTAACAACTAAAATTATTATGAAGCAAAATCCTAATATTCAATAGGATTTCAGCTGAAGTCAGTAGTTTTAAACCAATTATTTATATAAATACTAATGTCATCAAATTTGTTGGTTTGTTACTTCAGCTAAAAGAGCTGTGCTAAATGTTTGTAATTATTTGATTGAATCATTTTAATTAATTTTTTTTTTCAAATAATTTTTTTTTTCTAATATAGAAATTTATTAAAGAGAATAATATAAAATAATTAAATAATAAAAATATTAATAAAAAATTAAAAAAACCCATTTTTAAGATTTAGAAAAAAAAATAAAAATAGAAATTTTCATTATTTGTTTTTCTTTAAAATAATTTCCTGTTTCAATCAAATAAGTTTTAAAAGAAAGTTTAAAAAAAAATAATGTATTTTTTTAATATTTAGAAAAAGTTAAAACTGAGATTTTAGATACTTTTTAGCTTGTATGATTTTTTTGTTAGATTAAATTTCTTGTCTGATTGCTCTATGATTAAGGATTCAATTTATTCTGAAATAGTTTGTTTTCAAGTTGTGAATTTTTATTGCTGTTAACTTTAATCTTCTTTTTAAAACAGTTTCTTACAGAATGAACATCAGATACTTTTAAAATAATTTTTTATTTTATAATTATTTTTGTAAATAACTTTGCTTTTCAAACTAGTTGAGTAGTTGTGACACAGTGCATCCTCCATACAATTGCTTTTAAATATGTAAAAAGCCAAATGGGCCGTAAATGATTTTATCTGAGTTTGAAGTGTCTAGTGTATTTATGACCAATAGTAAAATCTCTGATGAAATAAGATTTTCAAAATGGCCACCCACTGACCAAAAGGGAATAAAATACATAGATAAATAAATTAAAACTTTTATGAACAAGTGCCACTTGACCAGAAATTAGAAACTTCAGCTTGAGAGGCTTATATAAGCAAAGTCCCAGTTAGAGTGAGAGTGGAGAGAAGAACTGTCCATCCAATCAGTCACATTCAGTAGCAGTTGCTTGGCACAAATAAGAAGAGGTGGCAAATGGACGTAAGTGCCTCCTACATACCCACAAAGAGTCTGCTAGGTTCAACTTGAAACTTGATCAGTGAATAAATAATCAAATTATTGCAAAAAGGATTTGTGTTTTCATTTCTTGCTGTGGTTTAATTTCACTTTCTATTCCTTTGTAAATGTACCTTTGCCAGTTTTTGTGCATACTGACACAAATGAGAACTATGGTACCTAGACTTTATGCATTTAAGTGCAGCAATAGATTGGTGGCAAGGTATTATCATTTTATAGTTAAAATGGTTAGATGTTACCATAAGTTCTATGCTAATAATTTCTTCTCTCGCACTTCTCGCTTGTGGAACTCCTTTCTGGCTTCTTGCTTCCCAGTCAAATTAGATCTTCAAAAATTTAAATGCAATGTCTATTGTTATCTTCTTAATTTCTGCTCTTTTATTGTTCTCTCTCCTCATGTTTTTTCTCATATTCTCCAACACACAGTGTAGTGATATGTAAATTAGGTACTGTTTAAAAGGTAGTATTGCCATATCTATGGGAGAGTTATCTTCTCTTGATGAGACTACATCTGTCAGAGATAATACCTATTGCCAATTGATTACTGAGCAATGATGGAAAATTCTGAATATGAGGAAACCTGGCTTAGGTGTTTTGCAGCATCAACGAGAGTCAAAAAGTTAAGACACCAAAGCTAGTAGAGGAGAGAATGAAGTTAAGGATTTGTTTTTAGCTTCAGTGGGGTGTGAGGCCATAAAAAAATCTTTGTCATGGTCTATCCCAAAGTGTTGGAAGATTTAGCATATAAAGAAATTATCATCATAAATGCAAATGTATGACCAAAAAACAGATTGCTTATAGCGGAAAGAACTAAATTTCTTAACAGCAGACAGAGACCAGACAAAACTATTATGCAATATGTGCAGCAATTGAAAGAAGCGTCAAGATGTGAGTTTGAAAGAATGGGTTTGAAACAAATGTCTATCGAAGATAAGCTAATTTTGCTAAGACTGAAGGAATGTTTGACATCTCGTACAAGTGTAAAATTCAAGTTCATAATATAAATTTGGGAGCACATGTTGATTTCTTACAACAATTGGAATTAATTCAAAAATTTAATGTCACCAAAGGCAGCATGGAGAATCATAGTGCTACTAAAAGCTTACATATATACAGATATTGCAATAAGGAACATGAATAGAACAAAAATAAGTGTCCAACCTTTGGAAAATGATGTTTTAAGTGTAGAAAGATAAATCATTTCCAGACGGTATGTGCATATGAAAGTGA